ACGATAGGGGTGGAGCTATCGCGCTGCATGTTTGGTAGTACTAACGTTAAAGTTAAGGTTAACGTCGTGCGGCGAAAACTACCTACTAGCAGTCTGAAAACCCACCTACCTCAGCATGCACCAAGGTTGGGACTGAGTATAAAATAAAGAGCAAATAGATTTCTAGAAATTGAACTCCCAGAGGGTGTCAAACGGTCCTACTTTGACAGGTTTTTTTTAAAATACAAAACAATAATTTTTAAATAAAAAAATTGTTTTTTTTAGGGAATTAAAAAAAATTCATGAATTTATTGAGCGTTTTAAGTAGAACTTATTATTATTATTATTATTCGAGGTTGAATTTGGCATATAGGATCTATTAATTTTAAAAAATACATATTTGTTGTTCATTTGTTGTTATTTTTTTGTCTTACTCAATTATCACTTTAATTTTTACAAGGGGGGGGGGAAACTTTAACAGAGGGGCATGGCCCCTGACCCCATTGGCCACGGGGCTGCTTTTCCGTACAAACCTGAACACACCCAAACACCCCTCGAGGTCATCGGGACTAAAAATATTAATTTTAAATTCAATCAATGTTAAATGATTGGCAATACCTAATATTGTGGTCTGAAATTATAATTGTGGGCCATTCTAAACCATTAAACTAATCTCCATGAAAAACACCACCAGAGAAATATTAAGGCCTATGCTTTAATTAAAGTAAATAATAATACCTCGCTGAAATACAATTTTAACGACGTATCGCAATCCTATTATAAGTAAAACACAAAACTAAAATGTGCCAATAGATTTTTCTCTGCATTGTTTACCTAATGCATTTATGCTTATATTGTTGGTGAACAATAAGCGATTCCTAGAAGAAGCCGTTGCCTTTGACAACATTATTCTCTCTTTTTTTTAAATGTATATATGAATAGGATATTACTTTATTTTATTATTCATTAATTTTAGGCAATATATGTTATAGTTCTTTTTTTTTTTTTTATAGAGAATTATCATATAGGCCTAACAATGTACAGGACACTGTCATTTGTGTGAACACAACATCTGTGAATGGTTGTGCCTTACCTCTCTATAAATTAATATTATTAAGATGTTTTACAGAATCGGAATCATCCTTATAATCGCCGTTTTGATGAGCAGTTTTTCTGTCGCTTCAGGTATACTTAGGAGCTTTCGATTGCACGACGACGGTAGGACGTAGAACGTAACGTCACTAAAAGTCATCTGCGCATGCAAGAACGTTAAGGTTACCTGGTCGAGTAGATTCTGGAACGCAATTTAGCCAAATCTATGTGACGCCAGGTAGGACGGTTACGCATGAGTGATTCCGTTCTAGCGTCGCGTCGTCGCACAATCGAAAGCTCCCTATTTATGCTTATTTTGCAATTACTTCAGCAAAACAATGCTGTTTTTGGTATCAAATCCATAATAAAGCCTGGTTTCCATAAAAGTTGCTCAATGTTTTCACTGTAATTGATGCGCATGCGCTGTGTAAGGCTGATCCAGAGCAACCATCCAAAAGCTGTTATCAACAGCATGTAGCGATTTTATGGAAACCTCACTTAACACTGTTATAATATACGTAGTTAAGAACGTCCCATGTTGTTCACAATCCAAACATTTTCTATGTGACTGGTGTATAATAATATCACCCCAGCATATTCGACAGGCACATTATTGTCACCTTTAGCACTGACTGGACCTGTTTTGAGATACCTAAATTCCATACCGTAAAAAGCTGTGTTTTGGTTTTTCTTTTTAGTAATGTAATACACTGTTAAACAGCAACTTTCTGCCTCTATCCAACCCAGAAGCCGCCCAAAGCAAAGAAAATGTGAATGTCCTTGCTGGAAGTGACAAACATTACAATCTTTCCTTTTAATATGTTGGTCAGATAATAATAATGTAGTTTCATATAGCGCACATATCAATCTAACATAAGATGATCAGGGCGCTTTATATGTGGACTAGGAACTCGAGCAAAGACTTTCTTCGCCCCTACTAATCGTCCCTTCGTGTCAAGTTGTGCTACCCGGTAACCCGGTACCAGCAACTCTCGTCGTCCACCAGGACTGTCTGTTCCAGTACTCCGGGGTGCGATTTTTTTCCCCGTACTAAACATTTACATGAATCTCCACTCAGGCCTTCTCGACTGAATCGACCCGAAAATCTCATAATAATTGCAGAATTCGGGGGATCAAAAGGTCATCAACGGATAAACGTCTACAAAACACTTTTTAAGAGAACGGATCGCTGCTGATTTTAAAAAATACATTGATGTTACCATGCTACGGAAGCCCGTTAGTGTCAACAGTGAATAAAAATTTCAAATCAGTTAACTGGCGGCCGCCAGATAATTATGTGGCGGCCGCCAGATAATTAAGTGGCGACCGCCAGATAACTGATTTGAAATTGTTATTCACTGTTGACACTAACGGGCTTCCGTATATAATAAACAAGTAGATCAA